CAAGAGGTGGTCCTTGAGCAAGCGACTCTCTTTGCACACCATCATATATGATCGCACACGCGCATGCACACATGTTTCTTGATTGGCATGGCAAATGCACAAATTAAATAATTCTCTTCATCACACATTTTCATATAAAATTATTTTGAGTAACACTCTGGAACACTTATCGCTTGAAACAGTCTGCAATCGGTTACCAGCATGGACTTGAGGTGCATCACGGACCAAAAGACATGGAGAATTTCTGTACATAAAAATAGGGGCCGCTTATTTATTTTGAGCAGGAACACAATAAAAAGGCATTAGTATTCACTGCTAAACTTAATGGTTCGTTAATTATTCACAAAGTAAGCTGTGCTCAGAAACATCTGAAAATTAAAAATGCTAAGTAATCACTTGGCGTCGGCGCTCCTGGGCTTCTTCTGCCCTTCGCAAGGCGGCTTCTAGGCGAGACATCGGCTTGCCATTCGCCGGTACCATTTTGGTACCGATATCGCTCTCATCGGTACCTCGACCACCGTCATCACCACTTGCAGACCTCCTATCCTCAGCCTGTGAAGCACTCTTGCCCACCACGAGTTTCTTATTCACTGCCGAGGCAAAAGTAAGATCGTCGGGATCATCATCAGCACACCCAAAGGAGTCGCTGTGGGCCTTGTTGTCGTGCAAAGTCGAGAGGTTTGCTTCCCTCCTCTCCGAGGACGCGAGCAATGCTCCATTGTTCTTCCAGACTTTCGGATCATCTCCTCTTTCATCCACCTCTTCATCATCATACTCATCGTCCTCATCATTGTCGGCAGAGCAGAGCTTCCGCTCCAAGAGGTGACGAGGTCTACGGTGTGACCAGTCCGCCAGATGAGACTGATCTGGGTCCGGGTAGAGATCAGAACGACAGTCTGAAGAGGCAGACTGAGGTGAAGCATCCGGCCTGGAAGAGTGGCGTCGGAAGGGACTGGATTCAGGTGAGCGGTACACTTGACGAAGATAGCAGGTGGCAGTGCAATAAAACAATAGCATCAATTAAATAAATGAATCTTTAAAAAAATGGGGGCCTAATTTTTGAAAGGAGATAAATGCACTCATAAAGTATGCCATTCACATTTAAGACTTGAAAAAGAGAAAAAGATATTGGAAGGAAGAGCTGATACCAATCTTCACATAACTCGAACGAGGTAATCTAATAAGCGGATGAACGCACAATGAAGGATTTGAAGAGGCAATAAATGGGAAACTAGCAATAGAAAGAAGATAGAAATTATTTAAATCAAAATTTCATTCATGAAGTCATGAGTAAAAGGGAAATACCAGACCTGCCTCAATGCATAACCGAACTGGCAAGGGTATTCACGGCAGATTTAGAATCTTCCTCCTCGCTTGCACACATGCAGCTCATTATAGACATACCCAGTCACACGCATAACTCTCAACAGGTCTGCATATTTTTTTGTGTGCATGTATGTATGTTATATGATTGTGCAGATCCAAAAATAGAATTACAATACTGAACAAACACACACCAAAGAACAAATATATACAAGCACACACACACGCACATATATATATATATATATATATGGATGCACGTATTTCTGTGTTTGCTTTTGCTAATATACATATGTAAATTTGCATATTTATATTCATCTGTGTGCGTAAATGTGTATGCAATGATGCAAGTAGGAATTTCGGTTTATTAAGAAGTATAACTTGACACAAGGTTGCATCTAATACGTGCCAAATTCCAGCTGGTATTGTTCAAGATTTGAGAGCAGTGGTGCAGATGCATCAGTAAGCCATAGACCTTTGCCCTTTATATATGTGTTGATGTTTGTCACGCCACCCACTTTTATATGTACAGTAAAGTATATTAAAGTTTATACTACCTTCCCTTAGTGTATATGGACAAAAGGAAGAATGAAAACGTGAATATTGGAGGAGAAAAGACAAGTGATTGGATATCGCATTGAAACAAATTTGTGATGTACCAAAAGAGGCACAAGTGGTGTTAGCTATTGTAAACTTGGCAGAGGTTGGAATGCATGAATCGACGATGCGGAATACTTTAAAGCAGTCATGAGAAAAAAAGACCAAATTTGAATAGGCATAAACACGATGCTGCTTGAAAGCCATCTCTTAGACTAGGAGTATTACTATGTTATATTTATGTGAAAATGTAAGTAATATTTTCACCAGAAAATACGACACCTTTATTGCCGCCAATGAGCCAAGAGAGAATTACAATATTTAAAGCATACTACTTAAGTAGAACTTTTGCACAAGCACTTGATCAAACAACAGGTGATGATACTTTATAGGCTGTATTACTTTACTTATAACAGTCCCATGTTTTTTAATACTTTCTTCGTAGCTTTAACCCTTATATTTCATTAATAAGCTGGTAAAAATGGTACTATTGAGAATTCTTTATTGATCTTCTTTAATGGGAACGAACCGATTTCATGTCTTTATATGTTATAACCACTTTGAATAATATAAACCTTTAATGGGTTTACTTACTCATGCTAATCACAACTTGCCTGTTCTTCCAACTAAAAAGTTGATTACGATCTCCGAACTATCCCTTTATGGTGTATGTGTGATAAAACTGATTGCGTTCGTTGATTT